CTCTGGCCCCTTTGGCCTCTCCTCCCTCTCTCCCTGCTCCTCCCTCCTTCTGTTTCTTCACAAATGTTTATCCAGTGGCTCTGAGTGCCAGGAGCTGTTCTAGAGGTGACGGGTGCAGCAGGGGACAAGACCTACAGGCTCTGGGTCCTCAGGGACTCATGGGAAAGAAACAATGTAGTAAACAAATAAAAAAATCAGAGCCCTAGGCCGGGTGCAGTGGCTCACACCTATAATCCCAGCACTTTGGGAGGCCGAAGTGCGTGGATCACTTGAGGTCAGGAGTTCGAGACCAGCCTGGCCAACGTGGTGAAACCTTGTCTCTACTAAAAATACAAAAATTAGCAGGGCGTGGTGGCGCACGTCCGTAATCCCAGCTACTTGGGAGACTGAAGCAGGAGAATCACTGGAACTCGGGAGGCAGAGGTTGCGGGGAGCCAAGATCATGTCATTGCACTGCAGCCTGGGCAACACAGCGAGACTCCATCTCAAAACAAACACACAAACAAAAAACAACAAAACAAAAACAGAGAGAGCCCTGGCACTCCTGTGCAAGAACTGAAATTGGGATGTGGCAGATGGGAGTGAGGGGTCAGCATGGGGGGTCCTCCAGTGAGGGACCCAGGGGTGAAGCTAGTGTCTGAGAAGGCGGGCAGTGCTCCAGCAGGCCCTGGGACAGGAAAAGCTGTCACAGGATGACAGGGACAGATCACGTAGACCACAGGACAGAGGGGTGTGGATTTTATGCTGGGTGCCATTAGGGGCCACAAGGAAGCAGGGTGATGAGGTCAATATTTTAGGAAGACCACTCTGGCTGCCACATGAGGATGATGGTGGAGGGAAACTGAGGCTGGCAGACCCCAGGGGTGTTCAGCTTGTGGCCAAGCAATGCCTATGGGTCATAGGCTATTTTTAAGATTTTTCTTGTTTGGAGGGAGACAGAGCCTTGCTCTGTCCCCTAGGCTGGAGTGCAGCGGCGCAATCTCAGCTCACTGCAACCTCCGCCTCCCAGGTTCAAGCGATTCTCATGCCTCAGCCTCCCAAGTAGCTAAGATTACAGGCACGCACCACCACGTCCAGCTAACTTTTGTATTTTTAGTAGAGACATGGTTTCACCACATTACCCAGGCTGATCTCGAACTCCTGACCTCGTGATCCACCCGCCTCAGCCTCCCGAAGTGTTATGATTAGAGGTGTGAGCCACTGCGCCTGGCCGGGCCACATTTTTTTAATCCATTAATCTGTGGGTGGACATAGGTCACTTCCGTGTTTTAGCTCTTGTGAATAGTGCTGCTGTGAACAAAGGTGTGGTTGATTCATCTTTTCATTTTGTTACAAAAAGAATTGCATTTGTAACAACCCAAATAGTACATGCGAATTGTAAGACATCTGAATAACACAAAACGAGCAGTAGAGAGGCAGTCTCTCTCTGCCACCCCATCCTTGTGTGTCCTTTGTAGGCGTCGCTGCAGCATCCTTCCAGAGTTTTCTATACATATATAACATGTTCGTGCATAAGTAAAGCAGCCCCTCACAAAATGGGATCACGCTGTGCATATCCCTTTCATTTTATTTGCACATATTTAGACACACTGATATTGATGACAGCGTAATAGTCCATTGTGTGGCCCGTTCTCATTGGGTTATACATTTCCCAGCTGATAGGTGTTTAGGTGGTTTCTTTTGTCTTTGGTGTGTGTGTTTCGGCTTCCAGAAGGATGATTGCTTAAGCTTAGGGTCGCTGAATGTTTACAATTTATTTTGGCAAAGGAATATATAAACGGAATGTAGCAAGTTACAGTTATTTATGAGCATTGTGTAAGGCAAAACTATATTAACTTAGGTTAACATTGTATAACACATGGTTTAGCATGTTAATTTATTTTAATTGAATTATGATTAATATATGTCAGTCTGCTAGGGCTTGCCATTTAAAAATACCATAGATTGGGTGGCTTAAAAAAACAAACATTTGTTTTCTTACAGTTCTTGAGGCTGCAAGTCCAGAATCAGGAAGGCAGCGGGCCGGTTTCCCGTGGGCTTTGTTCTCCTGGCTGGTAGACGGTGCCTTCTTGCTGCGTCCTAACGTGGAGGAGAGGAGAGCTCTCAGCTGTCTCTTCCTGTGAGGATGCAAATCCCCTCGTGAGGCCCCACCCTCGTAACCTCATCATTAACCCTCATTACCTCCCAGAGGCCTCATCTCCAAAACCTATCACCTTGGGTAGAATTTGAGGAGACACAGTTTGTTTACCAGCAACACGTTAGTATCGTATATGCTGGCAGTGAGGGTTTAATGTTTTAAGTTGATGAGTGGTTGGTCTATGAGTGGACTGTATTGGTTGGTGGTCGTCTGGTTGCTGTTAACAAAGGCATCTCAAACCTAGTGGCCTCCAACTCCGGGCGTATTATCTACTCACCAGTGTGGCCAGGCTCACTGAGGGTGGTCTCTGCTCTGTGGTGTCCGGGCCCTCCCTGGGTGGCTCAAGCCTCAGCAGCCCGGCGGGTCACATCCTGGGGCTGGGGCTTTCCGTTGGCCGGGGCCCTGGGACGGAGATGCTGCCTTCTCCGTGACGTGCCCTCTCTAGTGTGGGGTCTGGGCACCAGGAGGAAAGAGCAGAACCTTCCAGCCTCTTGGGCGCTGGCCAGGAACTGGAGGATGTGTTCCTGCCACATCCTGTGGGATCCAGCCGCCCAGGCCCCCCCTGCTCCCAGGGCAGAGGAGTGGAGGCCCCCCTTCGGAGCGGGAGCCCCTGGGCTCAGGGAGGGAAGGAACGCAGTCTCTAGAGGCCGTCTCCCACCATGTCCTTTGCCTCGGACCTTTTGGCCTCATTGTTGTTTTCCCCACTCCTCCCTACAGCCACCGTCCCTGCCTCTGGGCTCTGCAGACACCTCTGGGCTGCTCCTTCCCGCTCGAGGTGCTCTGTGGCAGTTGCCAACACAACTGTGTAGCCTCGAAGGGCTCTGGGTTTATGCCAGAGCCAGAGGCAACCTCCCTGCACCGAGGTTGTACAAATATTAATGTCATATTCTGAGTCCTGACTTGCCACCTGTCCTGAGGGCCACCTGGCAGAGCAACAGCACCAGGGCACGGCTCGGGTGTCGTTACTGGGGTGGGAGGTGGGCACCCCCAGCCGGGTGGTCGTTACTGGGGTGGAGCCGGGCACCCCCAGCCGGGTGTCGTTACTGGGGTGGGAGCGGGCACCCCAGCCGGGTGTCGTTACTAGGGTGGGAGCCGGGCACCCCCAGCCGGGTGTTGTTACTGGGGTGGGAGCCGGGCACCCCCAGCCAGGTGTCGTTACTGGGGTGGGAGCCGGGCACCCCCAGCTGGGGGTCGTTACTGGGGTGGGAGCTGGGCACCCCCAGCCGGGTGTCGTTACTGGGGTGGGAGCTGGGCATCCCCAGCCGGGCCACGTTCTGGCTGTGAAATTTGGCTTCCGCCTCTGTTTTCCTCACCTGTGAACCGGGGGTGATGCTGGTTCTATTATAATCTCTTGGGATCTTGGGTCCACGGCACCTGGACGCCTCTGTGGCTTCTGGAGTGGTTGCATTTCTTTGTTGTTTAGACAAATTACATGACTCTAAGTCCCTCTCATACGTGACTGGTGGCTCCTGGTGCCGGGAAAGTGCCGGGTGTGGAGCCACCTGCTGCTCTCGTTCTGTTTCTTCTTGGGCTCCCGCGTGCCGCTGTGCTTGTCGGGCACGTTGCTGGGCTCGGGGTGACACGGCGGCCTCTGGGCCTCATCACCCTCCAAAGGCCCGGACACTTCCTCACAGTCCCAGAAACGAGAGGGCGGAGGGCCTGGCCCTCTCCGGCTCCCTGCCCGGCTCCTGTCCTCCTGACTGGAGCAGTTACTGAGGCCCAGGACTCTGAGGGGTGACAGGGGCCCCACACTCCATGGAAACCAGGCTGGGAGCTCTCGGGGGGGCCACAAGCAGGGGCCTCATGGGGTGGGGCTCCCTGGAACACAGAATCCGAGCCAGGCCTGGAGACCTGGACTTGGCAGGCTATTCTGCAAATCCCACCCCACATCTGAGCCTGGCCTGGAGGTGGCAGTGAAGGCTCCTGGGCATGGGCCGCTGCTCTGTCCCTGGGAGCCACTGGTACCATGGCCGCTCCTTGAACATCTTGTCCGATTCTGGGCCTGGAACCAGTGATGCATGTGCCTTTGCAAACAAGGTGTTCCACGTCTTGGCCTCAGACTCCTAAGTACCGCACGTGATGATGTGTTTACTGCTGGCTGAGGCGCCATGCGTATCTTTGTAAGCTGTGCTCCTCAGCGCCTCCTGTGTGCTGGGCATGTGGACTTGCATGGGGGTAGCCGAGCTAAGTGGGACTCTCAGCACAGCACGTCGGTGAGGACATCCCCGGGCAGGACCAGGGGGGCTTGCCAGGCTCTGCAGAGTTTGAGCTGAGCTGTGAGGACAGGAAGAACTGTTGGGAGGTTGGGCAGGGTAGGATCCTTGGAGGCCAGGGCAGGTGCAGAGGAGGTAAAAGGGGGCTTCAAGTCCCCGTGTGGCTGGACCAAAGCGTGTGAGGAGTTTTGGGCAGTGAGGGGCTGAATCCCAGTGGTCGTCAGAGTGCCCTGCTGAGCGCTTTGGGGCCCTCTGAGGGCTTCGGAGCCAGAGAAATATGTGATTGGAGCTGTGCTTTAGGAAGCCAGGGTGGGGGCCAGGGTGCTGGAGGAGGGAGGGTCAGGATGGTGATTGTAGGGGCTGGGGGCCAGGGTGCCGGAGGAGGGAGGGCCAGGATGGTGATTGTAGGGGCTGGGGGCCAGGGTGCCAGAGGAGGGAGGCCAGGGTGGTGATTGTGGGGGGTGGGGGCCAGGGTGCTGGAGGAGGGAGGGTCAAGGTGGTGGTCGTGGGTGGGGAATGGGGAGTGGGGAGTGGGGATGCCCACGCTCTCTCCTTTGGCAAGCATGCCTGAGGCTGCTCCTGGGATGGGGCCTGTAGGACCTGTGACTCTGGCAGCATCTGAATGACCCCGACTTTCCTTGTGTCTGCAGACGGCATCCACAGCGTCACGGCCTTCTGCACCCTGCGTGTCACCATCATCACGGACGACATGCTGACCAACAGCATCACTGTCCGCCTGGAGAACATGTCCCAGGAGAAGTTCCTGTCCCCGCTGCTGGCCCTCTTTGTAGAGGGGGTGGCCGCGGTGCTGTCCACCACCAAGGACGACGTCTTCGTCTTCAACGTCCAGAACGACACCGACGTCAGTTCCAACATCCTGAACGTGACCTTCTCGGCGCTGCTGCCCGGCGGCGTCCGCGGCCAGTTCTTCCCGTCGGAGGACCTGCAGGAGCAGATCTACCTGAACCGGACGCTGCTGACCACCATCTCCACGCAGCGCGTGCTGCCCTTCGACGACAACATCTGCCTGCGCGAGCCCTGCGAGAACTACATGAAGTGCGTGTCGGTGCTGCGCTTCGACAGCTCGGCGCCCTTCCTCAGCTCCACCACCGTGCTCTTCCGGCCCATCCACCCCATCAACGGCCTGCGCTGCCGCTGCCCGCCCGGCTTCACCGGCGACTACTGCGAGACGGAGATCGACCTCTGCTACTCCAACCCGTGCGGCGCCAACGGCCGCTGCCGCAGCCGTGAGGGCGGCTACACCTGCGAGTGCTTCCAGGACTTCACTGGTAGGTGCCTGGGGCCTGCAGGTGGCTGGGCTCACCCTGGCTTTGTGCACGCGTCCCCAGGTCTCGTGGCAGAGGGTTTCGGGTGGTTTCCTCTGTTTACTTCCGTCCAGGGAAAACAGCTGGAGCAGGGGCGCTGGGCCCAGGTGTGGGCTCCATGAACTTTGAGATGATCTCAGTAACGGTACTTTTTTTTTTTCTTTTTTGAGATGGAGTGCCACTCGGTCGCCCAGGCTGGAGTGCAGTGGCACAGTCTTGGCTCACTGCAACCTCCGCCTGCCGAGTTCAAGCGATTCCCCTGCCTCAGCCCCGCAAGTAGCTGGGATTATAGGCACGTGCCACCACGCTCGGCTAATTTTTGTATTTTTAGTAGAGACGGGGTTTCACCACATTGGTCAGGCTGGTCTTGAACTCCTGACCTCATGTGTTCCACCCGCCTCAGCCTCCCAAAGTGCTGAGATTACAAGCATGAGCCCCCGCACCCGGCCAGCAATGGCACTTTCTTAGCCAGCTCGGGGCTTCCCTGACCGTAGCCCACGGTCACCTCCCCTGCCCGACTTAACTGCCTGCTTTAGGAGAACAGTAGGACAAGGTTACAGGGTGAGATACACTTAAAAGAAAACCTAAACGCATGAAGTGACATGAGTTGCTTTTAAGTGGCTCTCAGGTTAAAGTACTTTATTCCAGATTACAGGCTTAATTGGTTAGCGTAAAACAGTGGAACCGGGTGGAAAGCGTTGAGCCATTAATCATTTGGGTCTTGAAATCCCGTTGTTTCATGCTCCCTGTCACGTAGAAATTTCGTGACTCATTCCCCCGCTTCTGAAGACGTTCTTTCCTTGATACGTCCTGACTCATCACCAAGATGAATTACTCCAAATGTAGCCAACGGTGTTTTTAAAAAATAAAGAGCCACCCGAGAGGTACAAAAACACACGTTCTCTGCATCTCAGCCACAAATCTTGCTTTGGTCTTTGATCGTCTGTTCCATAAAATGATGGCTCATTTGAAAAATGAGTTTACAATGGTCCCAGTGGTGAATAGTCTCTCTTTTTTTTTTTTTTCCTGAAAGCTCTCTGGGATTAGGTGGGATTTGGTTCATACCGGAGATAACGTAGAGACTCTTCCATCTACCGAGTCCCCGATTAATCTGTTTAATATAAACACCTGAGCAATCGTTAGCTGCTCGTTAGCAGCACATAGCACAAGTTTATCGAGCTTATAACAAGGGTTTGAGGTATTAGCAGGTATTTATCAGGCAGGAAGAGAGCAGGGGAGCAGAGAGAGGGGAAGGATGGCTTCCAAGGTTCTCTGCATCAGAAGTGGAGGGAAAACCACCAGTGTGGGTGTTGGCAGCCCGATGCAGCGGGGCTCCCGGCTCTGACCTCTTGCACCCCAGGTTGGTTGCCCTCTGGTCATACGGCGGGTGGAAGGAAGGCACTGTGGTCACCTGCCCCGTGGTGTTCCCATGCCTGCTAGTCTGTGGCTGTCTGTTGGTGCCGTCTGCATCTGGGGCTCTCGCCCCGCTGTCTCTCACTGAGTGCTAATCCTAGATTCCTGGCTATACCGGGGCTTGGCTGTGGGCAAGGCAGGCAGGCAGAGACGGCGGGAGACCCCCGCCTCCCACAGCCCACACCTGTGTTGGGTTTGGGGGTGGGGATGGCTCCAGGTATGAGCAGGCCTGAACCAGGCCCCCTCCCCTGCTCTGAGTTGCGGTGGATTCCTGTTCTGTATCAGCTTCCCAAGGTGCCCTTCCTCCCCTTTGCCCCTCACGGCCTTGAGCGGGCTGCTCTGCCTCTCTGAAGCGTCAGCTTGGATGTAGCAGCGGCCAGCACAGTAAGTGCCCCTTCCCCGAGCCAGTGCCCGCCATGTGGCCTGGGTGGATGGCGCTTCGCCGACTTTCCTGCTTCAGATGAAGAAGCCATCGCCGCGGGTCCCTGGGAGGGGCCTGTTGCACTCCCAGGAGTTGGCAAGGGCACCATCTTTACTCCGCAGATACTGAGTACCTACTGTATACCAGGCCAGCGCACAAGCCAGACCTCCCCCGGCCCATTCCGGGGGGTGACCAAGTTCATTTGCGCCGTTGGCTCTTTCATGGGTAGAGGGGACCATGTAAGCACCTCCCACCTCTGGCTTTGTCAGACGAGTCAGAAGCCTTAGGGCAACGTCTCACGTGGCTTTGAGACCCGGCATCGGCCTCCCAGGCCGCCAGTCCGGGCTTCAGTAAGTTTGGGGCCGCACTGGGCAGGGGTGGCCGAGGCCTCTGGGGATCCCTGTGCCAGCAGATCCCCTCTGAAGATGATTGACCCATTGGGGGTAATCCACATTCTGAGCTTCTCAGGTTTTCTTTTCATCAGGAGAGTCATTTTTAGAAAACTAATGACTGGGCAACGGCCAAGTCTGTCATCACCAATAAGACCCACTAACATGTAATGATTGGCATGAGACTAATTTGAATCTCTTTGGGTACCAACATTATCATATGTATTTCCCTCGGAGATAAGGCTAATTAAGACTGATTATTTCTACTCCGTCCCTCTTCCTCCCCTTTTCCCTCTTTCCCTTTGAAGCGCTCCTTTTTCTGCATGGAGGTAATTGAGCTCATTTATTCACGATGAAAGTGGCGCTGTCGTCACAGGGGTTTTATTACTTGCTCTCTGGTAAGCCGAGCTCGGGGGCCTCACGGTTGCAAGGCTGGAATCAGCCCAAGTGGCTGCTGAAAGCCCCTAGCTTCCTGTGTTGCGGGACAGGAGACAGCAGGAGCTGGATGAAGGAAGTAGCAATTAATTTCAGGAAAAGCTCAACAAATTTGATGCTGGAGAAAATACTGACAGCTCTCCCATGTCCCTGAAATCCATTTGGGCCTTAGAGAAGTCCAAGGCCCCAGGGTCTGTGGATTGCCCTGATCTTTGCAGGGAAAGGAGGGCTGCCGCCCGCTCACGACGTTGGGACTGTGGTTGGGGTCTGCCGCCATCCCACTCTCCGAAGGGACAAGGATAGGAAGCCTTAAGGCTCCGGCATCTCAGATGTGCCTGGGACGCCCTCCCAGTTTCTCCGCTCCGCAGAGAGTTCTAATCAACCGTGAGAAGCATGGGCTTGTGTTCCTCGGTTCTCAGCCCCTCAGTCTTTTCGTAAACAGTGTAGTTCTGCTTTTTGTTAAATGGCTCAAGGACGTGGGCAGGCTCCGACTTGGCTCCTGTTCCGCCTCCCCTCTGTACCTGCTATCCCTTCATCTGAAACGTGTCTCCTCCCCATCCATCTGCCCATCACGGGCCTCCCTGAAAATCTGCTTCAGCAGCTGTCCTCTGCTGAGAAGGTTCTGGAAGTTTCCCGACCTCCTCGGATGGATCATAGGTTTCCTCCCTTGAAGCTTCCTGGGTGCCTTGTTTATGCTTTTGTCGGTCGACCCCTGTGCTGGGTGTGGTTCACACACTTCCATGTCTCTGTCCCTCAGGATGGCAGGGACTGTAGCTAATGGTCGTGTGTGTGTGTGTTTGTGTGTGTGTGTGCGCGCGTGAGCGTGCACATGTTTTGAGACAGAGTCTCACTGTGTCACCCAGGCTGGAGTTCAGTGGTGTGATCTCAGCTCACTGCAACCTCTACTCCCGGGTTCAAGTGATCTCCTGCCTCAGCCTCCTGGGTAGCTGGGACTACAGGCATGCATCACCATGCCCAGCTAATAATTTGTATTTTTAGTAGAGACTGAGTTTTGCCATGTTGGCCAGGCTGGTCTCAAACTCCTGACCTCAGGTGATTCGCGTGCCTTGGCTTCCCAAAGTGCTGGGTTTGCAGGCGTGAGCCACCACGCCTGGCCGGACTATAGCCAATGTTTGGTGAGTGCTCTGCTGTGCTGGTTACTCCTCTAGATGATTCTACACGTATTTTCTCATTTACTTCTCGAGGCAGCTCTAGGACCCCATTTTATAATGGGTACAAGACATCAAAGCCTCTAGCCCGGTGGTTCTCCACTGGGGGTGATTTTGTCCCCAGGGACGTTTGACAAAATCAGACCTTTTTGGTTGTCACAGCTGGGGGCGGGGGTGCTGGAGGGATGAAGCCAGGAATGCTGCTTGGCATCTGTAGTGCACGGGACCGCTCCACGGCAGAGAACCGGCCTCATTGCTGAGGGCAAGGACCCTGCTGCTGGCCCTGCGGAGGGTGGGGTCAGGACTCAAACCCGGGCATGCTGGCTTCTGAGCTGCAGCTGTAGACCCTCGAGGGTGGAACGGCCGGCCAGGTTTACCAGCTTAGATCTTTCCTCTTGCATCATTTCTTTTTTTTTTTTTTTGAGACGGAGTCTCGCTCTGTCACCCAGGCTGGAGCGCAGTGGTCAGATCTCGGCTCACTGCAAGCTCCGCCTCCCGGGTTCACGCCATTCTCCTGCCTCAGCCTCCCGAGTAGCTGGGACTACAGGTGCACGCCACCTCGCCCGGCTAGTTTTTTTTTTGTAATTTTTAGTAGAGACGGGGTTTCACCGTGTTAGCCAGGATGGTCTCGATCTCCTGACCTCGTGATCCGCCCGTCTCGGCCTCCCAAAGTGCTGGGATCACAGGCTTGAGCCACCGCGCCCGGCCGCATCATTTCTTTAACAGTGTTTTGTAAAAGGCACCTTCTGTGCTGGTTCCAAAGGCCAGTGTGATGGGCGGTCTGCAGCGGCCCAGGAGGGGCTTTGCAGCTGTTAACCTCGCTCCCGAGGGGCTGGGAGGACACTGTTCCTTCCCCACAAGAAACCTGACCTCATTAAATCAGGCCTGGCCTTAGAACTCGATTTTGAATCCTGGTGTTGGCTCTTGGTGTCTCCTCTCCCTAATTAAACAATCACGACCACTCACTCAGTACTAAAATGGGAACAGGCTGGGCGCGGTGGCTCACATCTGTAATCCCAGCACTTTGGGAGGCTGAGGCACGTGGATTACGAGGTCAGGAGATTGAGACCATCCTGGCCAACACGGCGAAACGTTGTCTCTACTAAAAATACAAAAAATTAACCGGGCACGGTGGCC